GTTGTTGCATCCGTTAACTGTCCACTGCTGAACATAGACTCCTTTATAAATTGGTGGTTTTGCCAATAGTTGCCACGCTTGGCAGACAGATTGGCAACCGCAGTTTGGCTTTTGGTGATATTTTAAGAGGGACGCTGCTGCCCATCTCTCCACTATAAGCACCCATAGTCGCCTCTTACGACACCCACGGGAAAGGAAGGGGTGGCCTATTCTATGCCGGGACAACACGACTAAAGGCATAGGAAATGTATTGAATGAATGAGTATACTTTATTTGTATTATACAATATAGGACATAAGCAAGACAATTTACAAACACAACGATACAATTGTATAAGTACAGTGAGGCGGTCTTATTACTGAGAGCAATCTTTTCAAGACAACCTTAAGGTAAAGGATTAATTGTTGTACAAGTAGGTATGAGAGTACTGTATAATTAAGAAATTATCTTTTGCAAATTAAAAAAAAATCTATCCTTTTGAGACGGAAATATGTTAATACATTTTGTTTTCCATAGTACACCATTGACAATATATCCCATGATTAAAAACCAACTGCTACAAAAGACTTATCTATTATTTATTTCACAAACAATATGGGAGAGAGAAAACGGGGGCGTGTCAGAGCCATTGTTTCAAATTGTATAGAAACCGCCATCTAGGGGTAATTGCCTTCTATCTCGGTGGGAATCGATCATTTAAAATAATTAAAGTCTGATCAGATAACATCATCAAATAAATTAGCGCTTAAATAGGTGGCTGTTAGATTAATTTATTCATCGTTTGCGTGTCTCATGAGAAATCCGGCATACATTGCAAAAATAATAAAATTAAATACCAAAGTACAAACATGACAATTAAATAGTTACAAAGGTAATTTTCGCATTTTAAGGCGAATTCAATGGGAATTTCTAAATATCCTTAATGCTCATCTACGTCCTATTAAAAATGGTTGGAGCAAAAAGCTCAAGATTTTTGCTCCATCTATTTAGACTATAGCTCCCAGTCTTTTAGTTTAATACTTAATAATAATAAATTTCATTACAGCAACAGGGGGCATTATAAAAATAAATCACAAACTGCATTAAATCCAGACAAAGGCAAATCTAAAGTTAAGTTAGGCTTGTAGTCACTATAGATAGTAGTAATTACTTTAAGTGCTTAAAAGGATTTACCAAGCATATGTTATAAATAAATCGTGGTTTACGTGGGTGATGACAGTGCTCGGTAAACATGTGGCCGACCCCGTTCCCCTGACGTAAAATATGGTAATAATTACTGACTTATAGCGTAAAGTCCCTTATGATAATATATAAATCCTGTTCATAACATAGTTGAAATTTAAATTTTAATGGGTGAAAAAGGAATGACAACCCTGGCTACGCTATCGATATACGCTAGTGGGTCACCAGTGAGGGATAATAGGTGAGGATGAAAGCAAGTCAGTCAGCTCATCGTGACGAATTGCACAAGAATTAACCACGAAGGTTTCCATGGTGAACCACTTGGAGATTTATCTGATAGGATACATTGCTAGCAATTGGGCTATTAGACCCTATTACTAACGATCGCTTTCCCCTCTGAAGTTTAAGTTGAATTTCAAAAACCATAAAAAAATCTGTAGATCATATTTCAAATATAGAAATTTTAGTTGGTGATGGATAAAACCAACATGATAACAACTCAACAACAATAGATAAAATTCGTTTAGAAAAAAAATCATCTGATATTATAAGTGTTCAAGTTAAATTAGTTTATATTGGTTTATTTATTGAAAGTCATGCTTGAGTCGACAGTCGAGTACTTACCAATCGTCGCGTTTTACAATTTTGGGAATGTTTTCTGTTTATGTACATATTACGGGAGAAAATTCTATTTAATTTAGGCAAGCAATACCATCTTGATGAAACATTACTCTTTTTGAAACAAATCATAATAAATTGTAGAGAACAAAGTTGAAACTCATGTCTTATTGTTTTTTGTTCACACATCTCGTCATAAAACATTGTACAATAAATTAGCAAGGTCCATGTGATTCTGTTTAAACAAAATAATCAGTTGTCCAGTCATCACAATTCCTGAGAATATATGCATATCTAAACGAAGCTAGAGAATATCTCTCGGCAATCGCCAATTTTGTAACTCTCACATAGCGCACTTTCCATTGCGCTTGCGCACAATACCGCTTATCTTCACCCAAACCGTACCGTGGTTCACATCTTTGTGGGGAACAATCGAGAAATCATAACGTATCTCAGTCGGCCATCAAGTGCCAGTGTCGCTCCTAATTAATAAGCTACTGCAGAAGGTAATGGCGAACACAAATGTTTAGAAACTGTCGCAATGGCCATCTGACGTTCTCATACTAATAATAAATACTTTAAAAGCATTTCTGGAGTAAAAATATCATAAATCACCACTTATTTTTTTCTCTCGGAATGTTATTAGATCAAGGGCAACTAATCAAAGCACAGTAGAAACATTACTGCAAGGGACAGAACCTTGAAACACTATCTGTGACACTTAGTGTGACAATACTCCAAGCTCCGTCTTGCGTTCTCCTATTATAAAGATTAGTAAAATTAGAAATTATAATAAAACTAGCTGACCCCGTAAACGTTTTTTTACCACTTATTGCGAAATATAAAAATCGCGATTAAAATACAGGGGTTGATCGTAAAACGATGAAAATTTAAAGTTGTATGTATTTTTCAATGCTAAATCATATTTAAATAAAAATAAAAAAAATTGTCAAAAAAATAAAAAAATAAAATTTAGGGGTGGGTCACCCTTATCTGTGATGGGTATAAAAAATAGATGTTGGCCGATTCTCAGACCTACCAAATATGCACACAAACTTTTATGAAAATCGGTAAAGCCGTTTCGGAGGAGTTTGGTAACAAACACCGTGACACGAGAATTTTATATATTAGAAAGATTAAAATTAGAATTACAAAATGAAAGGTAACAAATAAATACATACATGTTATAATTGAGGTATAACTCTAAATTAATACCATTGACAATTTCAAACTAGAAAGCAATGCCAACTATATTAGTGAAACATTCAACATTAATAGAAGTAATGCAATTTTAAATTTTCTCTACCAATAATGTTTGCTGGAATCGCTAATAGTTTTAGTTGAAAACATATACCAATGGGCCAAAGCATTTACAATATTGATTACATAAAATTGTAGGAAAAACAAATATGTTTTTAAATTACATTTATAATATAATTATTTATATTGTTTTATCATTCACTATTTCCTGTGTATTAAAAATAATGATCTTAATTACGCGTATGTATGTTGATTAATTGCTAATTAATTGCATGACCTTCATGCTGATAATGAATCATGACTTGGTAAAGTTTAATGGGTGGTTGACTTAGTAGTAAACACATATTTACAACTATGCCATTAGGGTCATCGTAATTTGTAAATACCCAAATCATTTGGTTTATTTTATAGTTAACATACAACTGTGATTAAACTATTTGTTGATAGACTGAATTTAATGAAGAAAAATAGTAATAGGCTTTCAGATATATCATGCTTGAAGGTTACGACAAGGTTACAAGGTGCAAAATAGGGACCTCAAGAAGAAGAATCTATTGTCACAAGAATGAAGAATATTTCAACGACCTCTGTGATGCAGTAGCGGGCGCATTGCTTTGCGTAAGAAGTTCCCAGGTTTGATTAGTTAGGCCAATTTAGAAAACGAACTCTTGTAAATTGTTTAGGAACTGGATACCCTGATTTGTGTCTATAACTTAGTTAGCTGGTAATCCCAATCTATTATCCTCAGACAAGGTATTCTAACTCTAGTATCAGGTGATTTTAATTTCTTTTACAACGTTTTCCCGTGGGAAGTTTCAATATTTCTTATATCATCTACTTAATAAATACTTAGTCCCTAAAAAAATTAACATATAAAATTTAAATTCTTACACAAGTACTTTAATATACGATCTAGTCAAACTTCTCTTTATACGCATAAATACACATTCAAATTACAAATATCAAATTTAAATATACGAGATAACGCGTATCGGTGGATAAATAAACCGACGATTGCTTCCTGGCTCGTCTTGTGGTCAATTTGTCTATTTCTCAAGCGACTTGATGAAACTGAGGAAATTTCGCTATTAACCTTGGTCTAAGAAAGTGAAATCAGAAGATATTAAGATTATACATCTTCATCATTACATTACAGGTACATTAACAGTAGTTGACAGCGTAATCACTTGAGCATGATGATAGGAAATTGCGTTGCACAAAACAGATACCAGTTCTTCTAATCACCCAAGAAATTGGTGCAATTTATTAGCGGTAATGAAAAAATTGGACAAGGTTATTATTTTCATAAACAAGCAAACGTGGTTCTCGGTCCTCTGTCCCATTCGTGTTTCAACCGTGAAGCAGTTGTGTTTGCATGGCTGTGTTTCGGTTTGAAGGGTAGGATATGAAGTGAATTTACAGGGTACAAAGGAATAACACCTGAGTCCTCAGGAATGGCAACGCATGGGGGGTATCATGGGCGAAACAGTATACTCTGTTATGTCCATGGACTCATGTCTATAGGCGACGGTCACCACTTATCATCAGGTGGGCCGTCAGCTTGTTTGCCATTCTAATTTGTATAAAAAAAAGTATATATTGATAAAACAATAGAAATTAGTCATTTAACTATTATTGTACTACCTATTGATAGAGTAAGAAGTCATGGAATTAATTTTTATAGTTGTCATCGAAAATTATTTTGGATCCTATGTATTTAATTATTCCTGGTATATTATACATTACATAAAAAATACATGTGAAAACACTATATAAATATTTAAAAGATATGACTGACATCATAAACCGCCTATTTTTGAAAAATCTTGATGGCATAATTTTAATAAATTTTTGGCTAGAGGCCACAGCGTGAAGATGTTGTGCCATCATATAAAAATGTATTTAATTTATTTTTTAAATTTCTAATAGAAGGAACATACCGTTCGATGTGAGAGATCAGCAACCGAGTCGTGTCGGTGGTCGAGGCTGCCGAGGCTGCAGCACGAGGCTGAGGACGCGAGGCTGACGGAGTCTGCGCGTGCGCGGTGCGGTGACACCGCCACGTGCTTCAGCATGCCGACACCTGATGATAAGAAAACAAATAATGAAAAACTAACAGTAATAAACATGAATGGAAGTGAATCCTTTCAATTAAATAATTCAATATTTAATTCCACAAAAATACACCAAATTCAATCGTGACAAATTCTGTTACTTTTATTTAAAAACTGAATTAGTGACCCAATCTTGATAAACTATCTATGGGACCGATCTAAAAATATATAATAGATAAAAATAGATAAAAGAGGAATATCCCGAACCGATTAATAAATGGCATAGTCATCTAATGATCTAATACTAATAACCTAGTAATGCAATGATTACAAATATAAAAAAAAAATACGAATTTAGAAACTTCTTCATTTTTGAAGAAGAAGGAATACAAACTTAAATTATGAAATCAATTGTCATTTTTTTACACAACTTTGAAAAGAAAGAGTTTAGTCCGCTTATGTATATGTACATATGTATATGTTTTTTGTGTGTGTATCATATAATAAAACTAGTGCTAACAATATAAAATACAAAACTTTACGCAGATACATACTCTTTATAATTTACTATCAAAGATTACAATAGTAAATTTATTATTAGACACAAACAATTACAAGAAAATATTACACTGAGAAAACAATGGGCGGCCTTAATGCTAAGAGCGATATCTTCCAGGCAACCTTTGGATGGAGAGGAGTAATTATTATAGAGCATATTGCTAGCAATGAGGCTGTCAAACACCATTCCTAACAATCCCTTTCCCCCCGATGGCCAGGGGTAGTCTCTATCATGATGGATACAAATTTAAATTCGAAAACGGAGAGGAGTAATTATAAACAGTTTGGCATCGGTGGCACGATGAAAATTCTGTCATAAAAAACATATATGTATATATACATAGCATTACAGTTCTAGCTTTTTTGCACGCAAATATTTTCTATTGCAAATATGTATTATAAATAACAATTCATAAAACTCGCAGAAAACCGCGACGAATGGATTGGCCACTACTGTTCCGCCTTCTCATTCTGCTTTCCCCATGAGGTCATCTTGTACGGTTTGGAAATGACGTGTTTATAAAAATATTTATCATTAAATTTGTTTCAACCATTATAAATTGGCTACTTAAAATGTAATTGATTTTTATAATTATGTATATTACTTCTGTCGTTACATACGTGAAGGTGTCGCTCTCTAGAGCCAAAATTGTCTTAACAATGTCATTTTTTTAATGGGTTGAAATTAGTATGGTAACCCCACATGCCCACAATTCATCCTCACACGCTTGATCCTAAATGGTCACGTACAGTGCAGTTTCAATAGAATTATCTCCCGCGAACGCTCACGGTGGAGTTTTTAAAAAATTAAGGTTTCTTCAGGGCGGGCAATGCGCACGTGACACCCTTAAGTCCATAGACAGTAACCATTTACCATCAGACAGGCTATAGACTTGTTTGCCACCTTCGTGGTATAAAAAAATAAAACCAACGCGGGTGTAAAAACCCTGTTAATTGCAAAACTGATTCTTTTGCAATCGATGGGGTTTCGAGTTTCGAGTCGAAAATTTCACCTTAAAAATACACAAAAAAAATAAGGGCGAATTAAGAAACCCCTCGTTTTTGGAGGTCGCTTAAAAACAGTAGGTAGCCAATAATTTTCTTGTGCCCATGCGCAGATACTAAAACCGGACAGTCGTGTCGCCTTGAACCACTTCACTGAGCCACTTTCTTGCTTGGCCACTATTGAAATCGGATGCATTTGATATTTTGCAAGCGTATTTCCCTAAAGTTATGGTAAAACCAAGAGTAATCCAACGCAGCATGGTTTTATGGTATATATCACGGATTTCCTTGATAGATCTACTTGAACCATATCAGCCTATAACTGTCCACTGCTGAACGTCTTCTCTTTGGGGTTTTCACAGTAGTTGCCACATTTGGCAGGCGGATTGGCAACTGCAATTAGGCTTTGAAGATGTTTTAAGAGGGACGCTGCTGCCTATTCCTCGCCCTCCCTTAGTCGCCTCTTACGACACCCATGGGAAAGGAAGGAGTGGCCTATTCTACACCGGGACTACACGGGATCTATTTGTATATTTAGGATCATGTACAGTAAGTACTGTACATGTAGTAGCATAGTAGTAAACAATTTACAAATGCGAATAAAAACAAACATTTTGATACAAGTACTAATTAAAATGGGTACAACGTTTACAACTACATACATACATTTGTCACTACGACGCCAGTATTTCGGAACTATTTCTACACTTTTTTTTATTTGAAAATAGAATGTTAACGTCGCGTGCGCAATTGGCTGACGTACTCTAGCGGATTACCAATGAGGGATGAAAAGTGAAGATGACGTCAAATCTAAGTGATATGACGTCATCACGATTTGACCATCATGATGTACTCACCAGAAATTAACCGCGATGATTATTTTATACCACGAAGGTGTCAAACAAGCATATAGCCCGTTCAATTTTAAAGGGTTACTGTAGCCTATGGACGCCTGCAATACCAGGGTTGTCATTTACGCATTGCTGGGCATGAAGAGACCTTAATATATCTCTTTTGAAGAACCCCATACTGTAGTCTCTAGGGAAAACCTCAGCAGGGAAATCATTTCACAGGCTGTGCATTCGCGAGAGAAAATTCCTTTGAAACCCCACTTTATGATACCATACACGTTCGAAAAAGAGCCGTCTGGTTAAACAAAATTAATTTAATCGATTTTTTTTCATTTATAAAAAACAACACAAGTTGATATTTGTAACAACATGGTTTGTATTTTACTTAAAAAAATCATAAGACTTATCTTTTTTTATGCAACTTAGAATGGCAAACATGCTGACGGCCCACCTGATGGAAAGTGGTAACAGTCGCCTATAGACATGAGCAGTACTATAGACATAACAGAGTATACTGTTTCGCCTATGATACCCCCCATGCGTTGCCATTCCTGAGGACACAAGTGTTATTCCTCTGTACCCTGTAAATTCACTGCCATATCCCACCCTTCAAACCGAAACATCTTTGCTAATATTGTAAAAGAGAAAGTGAACGGTGTGGACTGCCGCACGGTGAGCGTGGACTGTAGGGGCGTTGGTTCAGGCTGGAGTGAAACACAGGGATTACTATTCTGAAGCCTCCGGTACCGTCTGAAGAGAGTATTTTTTCTTCTTGTCCTATTTCTTCTCGAGTGTAGTGTGTCGCTGTCCGGAAGCGAATGCCGCTCGACGAGAGGCGGCCTATCTTTATACCCGCCCGCTCGCATGATAACGTTTCCAACTCGCGTTAGCGAATCTGCGCGAGCGGGACGGGGCGAGAAAGAACGAGACGCGTGTCTCTTCAGATCGGTACTCTATAGCGTTTATTTATTGCAATTTACAATTTCTTAATTCTATTTATTGTTACAATTTCTATTTCTATTCGTAGGTAATAATGACAACACACAAAGAAATACTTTATTTAACTTACACTATCTTAAATCTATGTAAAATCTATATAAAATAACAGAATACAGAAACGATTAACTAGGGACTTAACAACTATAAATTACGATTACATATATACAAATAATGTCGCGAACATAATCTCCCGCCGCAGCTCTCGTAGCTGGAGTTAACTCGTGTTCGCGTCGCTCGATGTCGATGTGGGCAGTATGATCAGCTTCTTAGTGGGTCGCCGTAGGATGCCCTTGTTCGTCCGCACGTCGACCGCTCGAACCTCGCCGTCTGGTCCAGGGTAGGTCGCCACCACCACGCCTCGCGGCCACGTGTTGCGAGGCAAGGTCCCATCAGCTATCAGGACCAGGTCGTCCATTTTGATGGCTCCGTGTGTAGCTCGGGGCTCCCGCCGGTGTTGCAACTCGGGTAGGTACTCCTTCACCCACCGGTTCCAGAAGCAGTCAGCTAGCCTCTGGCTGGCACGCCACTCCTTGTGTCCCGCCGCGTCGCTCTCTGTGAAGCTGCCTGGCAGTGGGACGCGCGATGGACCGCCCAATATGAAGTGATTGGGGGTTAGGGCGCTGTCGTCGTCTGCCGATGTTGACACGTGGGTTAGCGGTCGACTATTGAGGGTGTGCTCGACCTCGACCAGCAGAGTGTGGAGGACTTCTTCCTTGGGCGCCCGCTCGTTCAACGTAGTGGCTAGTGCGGTCTTCACGCTACGCACCAGCCGTTCCCACGCACCTCCCATGAAGGGTGCGCTCGGGGGAATGTAGCGCCACCGGATGAAATGAACTGATGACTCTTCTTGGATGGCTTCCTCGGCTGCTTTCTTCAGTTCGACGTCAGCACCTTTGAGGTTGGTGCCTTGGTCGGACCATAATTCTGTGGGACACCCTCTGCGGCTTATGAAGCGCCGCAGGGCCATTATGGCGGAGTCCGCGCTGAGGCTGCCGGCGATTTCTAGGTGGACTGCGCGCGTCGTTAGGCAGGTGAAGAGCACTCCGTATCGTTTCTGGCGAGTGCGGCCCACTGTCACGGTCATAGGCCCGAAGTAGTCTAGGCCGGTGAACGTGAACGGTCGTTGATGATGCGCCAGCCTGCTCTGTGGATGGTTGCCCGTTGATGGCTGCGCCGGTCTTGCTCTTCGTAGGCGGCACAGCTGACACCTCTTCAGTTCACTGCGGACGGCGTGTCGTAGGCGCAACACCCACAAGTGTTGTCGCACCTCGTTCGTGGTGATCTCGAAGCCGCCGTGGTGAAGTTTCCGATGCACCCATGCGATGTATAGGCGCACCCAGGCGTGGTTTCCGTCGACGATGGGGGGCTCTCGTTGCTCGGCTGACAAATCGGCGGCGGCTGCTATTCTCGATCGAAGTCGCAGAATGTCGTCGTTGTCTATGACGACTGACAGCTGTATGAGTCGACTGGATGACGGCAGCTGTTTTCCTTGTTTCAATACTGCGATTTCGTCGCCGAACGCCTCTTGTTGTATCGCGCGAATCCATAGTCGTCGCGCGCGATCTAGGTAGTGTGTGTCTATGGGGATGAAACACACAGATGGACTATTGCTGTTC